GAGTTATTTGGGGCACACAGAATTTGCTGCCTCATCAGAGATAGCTGACAAAATTCTGGTCTGCAATCAGACTCGAAAGTCACTTTTGCCAACTCCTGTGACTAAACTGGCAAAAGCTCCCTGGTGCCTTCCAAGCAAAGCCCCAACTCCTTAGCTTGGCTTCCACAGTCCCCCTCTGACTCTTGAGCCCTGGCACCCTTTAATCCCCCAAACTGCCCCTGCCTCTCACCTCCATTAACTCTCTCCCCCTCGGGGTCTGTAAGAAATCGTCACCTCCTCCACAGAACATTCTAGAAGCACTATTGTCCTCCCTTATACTGCAATAGCATGTGGTCTGCACTATTCACAAAGTTCTCCCTTGGAGAAAGCTCTTTGGGTACTTTTATTTTTATTTATTTTACATCCTCTGCTCGATTGCAAGTCCTCAGAGATCAGGAGAAATGTCTTAAATGTCAGTGTTGCCATTCCAGGTCTAGAAGAGTGATTATCAATCCTGTTTTCCTTTAAGACACTCTTTTAACCACAGAGATGCCTCACTCACCACACACAATTGATTCCAATCCCTATTGATTTTGACTCAAACATGATGCAATTCTTACATCAGCCGGAGTTGAGAATCATTAACCTGCTGCATAAAGACACTCAGGAAACGCTGGCTGGACAAATGCACAAACCATCTAACAAAAAGAAGAGAGGCCTTCCCAGATCTCCCTCCCGATGGAATTAATCTCCTCTTGCTCTGTATTTCCCTGCATTTGGATTGTACTTCTGTTAAGTGTACACCACAGTCCATCTCATATTTAGCAACTTGGGGGTATGTCTGCCTTCCTGTCCAGTATGTGAGCCACTGGAAAGCAGAAATGTGTCATGATCATATACCATGTCCGTAACAGCTGCCAATAACTGCATACTCAATTCAGACTCTCAGAAAAATCTGCTGTACTGACCACAAGAAGTTTAGGAGATGCATATAAACAAGGTACATGGACAAAAGTCATGGGCCTTCCCCAGTTCCGGTAACAGAGTAGTTTGTGGCTGTAAAAAGATGGATCTTTGATCATCACACCTATTTTAAAGATGAGAAAACTGAGGTCTAAAATGTTGAGTATTTGTGTGAGATCACACAGCACTTAGAGGCAGATGAGCACTCGAACCCAAGTCTCCTGATCACCACTAGATGAAGGTTCTTTGCACTCTCTATTTAAAATCAATTCTCTATCTGTCTATAAATCCAGGATTACATCCCTGCTTTGCCAACCTGCTGAATTCCAGGCTGGTGGTCAGATCATAAGCCAGGAGGGGATGGAAGCCAAGCAGAGAGGGGTGAGCCTCTGACCACCTCTATCTGTGTACCACAGCTGATTTTTTAATTATGTTGTATTATTTTTTTCCAATAAAGTAACTAACCAAGAACTCACCATGCATTAATAGATTTTATTAAAATATTTGACTTGGTTTCCCCAAATCCATGATTTAACATTTTAATATACAGTTAGGATTAGGTATTCTATCATTTCCGAAAAACACTAAGAATGGATTTTCACTTTCTTAGTCTATCCCAAACTTAATATAATTCCTGTTAAAATTTCAGGGCCCCATTGATTCTAGGATATATTTACTATAAGTCCCTTTGTGAGCAATCATGTTATTTTGGTGTGGGGATTTCTCTTCTTATTCTTATCACTAATAATACAGAGAAAAGCAGATTGGCCTACCCTACATTCAAAACAGCTGTCTTAAAATTTCTTTTTTTGGTACCTAATTTTATTTTTGGTACCTTTAATTTCTTTTTTAAGGTGACAACTGTCCTGGTCTTCCCAAGACTCTGGGATTTCCCAGAACTCAAGACTGTCAGGGCTAAAACCGGGGCAGCAGACGCGAGCAAACCGGATGGCTGGTCCCCTTATCACAGAGTGCTATTTGGCATATAAAAGTTCCTGCTCTCACTC